TTGATTAAATCTATTTTATAGATATAACTATTTTTTTAAATAAATTCTGCTAAATGTGCTGTACAAAAATATAATTATTAAATGTCTAGACACGGAGGAAAAGAACGTGTGTGGTTGAGCGCGTGTGCACACACATAGGCAGGTGTGAATCATACAAATATACTTTGTGCGTAATATGTAATATATATGTTAAAACCAGACCTTTATATCAAGGAACTCTTTGTCTAGAAAGATATATTGAAACCTGTGTACACATATTTTAATAAATAACTTGTATAAATAAAGTGTTAGAGGTAAATTAATATAGTCTAATGGCAACTGAAAGCAATGAATTATTTTGTAAGCTAGAATAAGAAACCCCAAACACTCCTTAATAGACAGCATTTTTATGGGTGTATTATTGCGTGCGCACTGTATATTAATAAATGATCACATATCATGATTAAAAAAAGTGTATATAAAATGTGTATATAAATATATGTATGTAAATGAGGTAATGGAGCATATACTATAATTTTAATATTTATATATTAACATAGATAAGTAAAATACTTCATTAAAGTAGAAAAGCAGTCCTAATTGCAATTAGAACTCTAGTCTCCAAATACACATTTGGTGTGGTTGTACCCGACAACGAACCGTGGTGGCCAGGCTGCCGACACCGCTCTGCGACCTGGCAGCAGCTGGGGGGCATTTGCACCCCCAGTTACCCAGGGTCTGTCCCCCAGTGGGACACAGCCCGGGCTGGAGGCTATGGGCACTCACACATCAGCGTTAGTGGGAGAAAAATATCCCCCCTGCCCCTCCCAAAAGCCCCGAGCCCAAGCCCTGATACACCAAAGCAAGCACACAGGTGAGAGAAGAAAAATTTAAAAGTTTATTAAACATTAAGAATAACAGACAAAAAAAAAAAAAATATTTGGGCTGAACAGCATACAGGATGCAATCCATTTCATGTCATACAGTTATTTTGATCTTATTTGTTAAACTTGTATTTAAACAGATGCTGTCTTGTGGTGTTGCCAGAAATACAATGGTTGATCACTTGTAAGTTTTAATACATCTTTTTTTTTTTTCTTCACATAAAAAAGTCAACAAAATAAAAATAAACTGCACATCTCTATTGTAAATTACATGCAAAAATAGTTTTAAAGCAGTAATTGGGGTTATTACAAACCCACAGACGCAAGATATCCAAATGTTAGGGGTCCTTCGGCACTACTGAACTCATCCCGCTCGCGGTCACGGAGCGTGTGCCAGTCCGTGTAGGCACAGCTAAGCCAAGCGCCAAGCCTCACTCAGGCGCCCACTTTTCATTTTGAACTTCTTGCTTTTGTGGATTCAAGTCAGACCTTTACTTCCATGGCGCTAGGTTTAGTGACTTTAGCACCATCCAAAAAAGAAAACAACTCCCCCCCCCCGCCTCCTCTGCCACGGGCTTTCCCACGGAGAGCCCCAAGGTGCTCGTATTCACAAACACGTCTCAAATTTAATTTACTTTTAGAGGGCATTCTTTTTTAAAAAGAAAAAATTCACTTCTAAGTTTCAGCAAAAACAACAAAAGAAGACAAGCATTTTAACAATGCTTATGGTTTAATAGAGGTCAGAGAATTATTTAGACATGCTATTAATTATTCTGCAAATATATATATTTCTATTTTTATAAAATTACAATTTCATATTCCTACAAGCTCCTTCATGAGCAACAAAGCCATCAGAGGTGCGATGAACCCAGCCAAGCTGTCCTTGAGAACTGCAAATGAGCCAAACTTTCATTTATTTATTTGTTAATGTGATTTTGGGGAGACAGCCTCATTAGAGAACCTGGTTTTTTTTTTTTCCAAGTTTTAGCTCACTTTTTGCCTTTGTTTTTTTCTTCTTTTTGTTTTCAAGGGTGAGCTGTTCAGAGGTGGCGGGACACCTAACGCCCACAGTAAGCGGCCAGCGCCCAGGTCCCACAGCTCCTCTGAAGGTCCTCACCCCCAAAAGCCCTCCCCCCAAAAACCGACCCCCCCAGCCTGCGCCGAGGCGGGTGCCGGGCTGACGTCAGCCCTTCCCGCTCACTCCAGCACATTTCCAATCCCCGGAGCCACACGCTTGCCCGACCGCCCTCCCGCGCGGCGGGACGGGGCGAGGAGGCATCTGAGCAGCTTCGGGTCTGCTGGGCGAGGCAGCTGCTGGAAACCTCTGTGGCCATGACTTAATAATATCCAGCCTACAAAAACTACCATCTCCCTCCCTTTCCCTGCCCAAAAGAAACAAAAGAATTATCTGTAGTTTTTTTTCTGAGCTGCCTTTTACATTTTAAAGACTGTTTCGTGGTCACAACGCAGCCCACCGAGGGCCCTGGCTAGTCACCTACCCGCTGCTCCCAAGCACACC